GGTGAGTTTCCACTCACCCGTTTTTCTACGGGAAAGGGAAAGGAAACGGAAAAATAATCACGTGAGCATGCGTAATAAAAGTTTTCACTTGTCCGTAAGTAAACTGCGCATGCTCACGTGATTATTTTTCCGTTCCCTTTCCCTTTCCCGTAGAAAAACGGATGAGTGGAAAATCACCTTAAGAGGTAGATACGAAGTACCATAGAACGGGGTGACTTTGATACGCGGGGTGACTTTGATAATTTCGTCTGTTAGTTACAAAAATAATGATTTGAATGTGAAATTGCACAATTAGTGACTATTTTTTTTTATTATTCTTGTACATAATTATATTCTGCTAACATTTTTGAAATTTTAATGATTGTGAAGTGATTCTAAATTGTGCAAATGTGTTAGGAATAACATGACTATAACAAAAAAATAACGATTTTTACACGTACCGAAAAATGCCAAAAAATCTTGTGATTTTAATTTTTTTGAAATTTTTTTTTTCTAAAAATCTATACTTAGATGTTCAAGTGGTATTTTCCAGTTATAATACCACTGGAATATACCACATATATATGTTTTTTTTTTTTTTGGATATCTTTTTAATTTTGAATTGAGTTAACAACTAAAGGATATTATAAGTACTTAATATTTATATGCAATTAGTATTATTTTTTTGTTAGTGTTATTTTATAACTGCTAATTACTATAACAATGTTATTGATGTATTATTTTTCTGTGTTTAGCATATTAACATCAAATTTATTTTTGTTTTTTCTTTGTCCATTCTGTAGATATATTTGATAACCAAACTTGTTGTCTAAATTTATAATTTTACCAGTAAATCTTATAAGTTTATTAATATGTTGTGTTCTAATTTAGTAAAAGTCAAAAAGAAAGTATTAGCGACACTGTGAAGAGGGTTAAATCAATAAGCCATTAAGAAATAATAGACTATCAAAGTCACCCCAAACGACGGGGTGAGATTGTAACATTTTGGATTAAAAATATATATATTAAGACAAAAAAAAACTAAAAATATTTAATGGAATTATATAAAGGAAAGGTATAATGTTATAACGGGAAAGATTTATTTTGCAAAAATGCTCAAAATCCTAACAAAGTCACCCCGTTCTACGGTAGTTAAGGAAAATAGGTAATTTATAAAATAATTCAAGTGAAAAAAAAGAGTTGTATCTATGAATAATATGGTAAATAGGGATTATTATTGCTAACCAATTTTAGAAGTTAATTAATAAAATTTATGTTACAAATTTAATAAATATAATATTAGTCTTTGCTTCACTGATGTGTGTATTTATATCAGAGTTGCATATTGAGGTGAGTTAAAACGGGTTAACACGATTAAATTGGTTTAATGTCGTTTTATACTCTTTATGTTATGTCGTCTTATACTTTTACAGCACCTACAGTTTACTTTATGTTATGTCGTTTTATACTCTTTTTTATATTATAACTAAGTATTAATTTCAACGATTTAAAATAATGCCTAAATGATTTAAGTTGGTAAATTTAACAAAAAGGGATTGAGTGCGAGTAATTGATTAGATTACAACATTTCATATATTTAGTGTTCTTTTATTGTTATTTTTATCATAAATTTCGTTCAGAGTATTATTTAATTAGTTTAATTATGTTTATTTTAATTAATTGGTAAATTTATTAATTGATTAATAGTCTATAGTTAATATTATATACATCTGTTCAACCATATTTCTTCGTATAACGTTTTGCGTTTTTGCACACATAAAATTTGCGAACAAATTTATGAGCGCGAAACAGACGTATATAATAATATGTATATTAATCAAGTAATGATTTCACCAATTAAATACAATAAACATACTTAAATTAAATAATGCACTAATTACTGTGCTCATTTTTCTCTCCATGATTAAAATGTTCATTAAAATTTATTAAACGTGCTAAATGTACGATGGCTTTAAATATGGTTTATCATAAAACAAAGAACATTGTCAACAATAAATTAAGTTGATATACATTTAAGTGTATATCAACTTAATGTTTTTAATGTTCTTTGTTTTATGTTGAAATGTAAAATCAGTTTTTCATTGGTTTCCTTTAATGATTTGTATTTGTCAAAAGATAAAAATAAATAAATGATATATAATAATATATATAAACGATATATATAATATATATAATAATATATATGATAATAAATAAATCAAAAAATAAATGACTTTTTTAAGTAGCCATTTTTTCAAACAAATTTCAGTACCTTTTGCATGGCTTTTCGCGGACCATTTTAATGAAACAAAATAGCTTTACAAAAATTTTCTCCAGAAATGTCACTACAGCTCTTTTAAACAAAAGCTTAAAAAATAATTTTTACAATTGATGATTTATAAATATACTTTATATAACTTATCGAGAGCAATTATTAGTAATTCCTTTTTTACCCTCTACTTATCTAATAAGTTATCGAGAGCAATTATATGGCATCGATTTTTTCTTTATTTTTCATTTTTTTTATTTTTTTAGTAGAATTTTCATCTTTAGTTTAACATTTAAAACATATACTTTTAAATATATAAGTATAACATTTAAAACATATACAACACAAACTTTAGTTTAACATATAAAAATTTAATTACGTTTATTATAGCAGTTCTCGACGACAAGACTTAAGGGTTTTTTAAATGTAAATGTAATATAGAACAAAACAAAAAACAAAAAAATAAAAAATAAAAAATGGTGGAAAAAAATAGCTAAAAGAAAAACGAAAACGACTTGCATAAACCAAAAATAAATAAATGTTTCACAGCAAATACTAAGCATCAACAAATGACGCAACTAATGATGCAATAATTAAATCATCTTCACTTATAAAGAAATTTTGGAGAAAGATATAAACCTGGAAAGTCTTAAAACGTGTTCAGAAGTTAACGGTAATATAAAGTATATTTCGCCTTTCGAATGTTTAGTTTTGTGTGCAATATTGGTAAAAGTAATTGCAACTATAGATCAAAGAAATCATGCGAATGCAAGAGATATTGTGTTTAGTTGAAATTGTGTTTAGTTGAATTGTCTTTGTTGGATGGATATTTTGAATGAAGCAAAATTGGTTGAAGAAACAATCAAAATATCACCTGTATTTCCATCCATAAAGCTCTTATATACTAAGATATTAACAGCCTAATATAGAAACAGCCACAAATAGACATAAATAGAAAAAGTAGCGTGACGGCTTAATATAGAAACAGCCACAAATAGACATAAAGAGAAAAAGTAGCGTATTAATGAACAACATTTTTGCGTATCAAAGTACTACTCATACGTATGGTTTTCAAACCCAACATTTTTTAAACGATATTTGTTTAACGATGTATCAAGAAAGACAGATTTCCCCATTAACTGAGAACTTGCACGTCAACCCTTCTTTCTGCCTCAAACATTTTAGAAGCTATTAATATTATTTGAAAGAATAAATAATAGTTGTGCATATGGTTTAACTTTCTCTAATAAACATTGCGTAACCCACTTTCATTCCCTATTGTATAAATACCTGAAACTTTTAATAAAGTGTGCCAAGTTTTGACTACCGATTCTTTTTTTTATAATTGTATTTAACTCTTGTCCAAATTCAAAAAAAAACATAATAATCGATTAATTTTCAGTACACATTGAAAAGAGAATGAAGAGAAATAAAACTCCTATATATGGAAATCTAAGATAATTAACTAAAAAAAAAAGCAGAGATTAACAGGAAATTTTGTTTTGAATATATATATATATAAAAGAAATAATCAAGTACATTTTTTCCCAAAACCTCAGCGCCGACTTAACTGCTTTTTAATTAAGCTAAACTGCAATCTTTCCCGCCTTGCAAACACATAGGCGTCTTTTTTATTATTTCCTTATTCTCTGACTATCTACCTATTGAGAAATATTTGAGAATATTATTAACAGTAAATTTTTTCCCTATGACAGCAAACAAAGTTTGGATTAATTTCAAACTATTATTTAAGTAAAAATTGGCTTTGGAGTTTACGTATATATATATTTTTTAAAGTATTGCTTAAGTTTTTAATTGTTGTTACGATTAAACAGATAATTGTTATTTGTTTCTTTATGTTTTAGAATTTATATAACTGTGCCTAATAATCGCTTAAATTTTGACAATGTGCGAATAAATAAGTTATTAAAATATTTTAACAATTTATCTTCCGAACAACGCGCAAAAATTGTACTAAACACTATTAAATAGAAATCTTGTCTCTGGTAAATTAGTTTATGTTAATTACTTTTACAAAATAAATCATTATGTTTTTAAATGAATCAACCAATAATCTCTCGAACAATACTTAAAACAGTAAATATACTTAGACTATCAAGCTGTTTACATAACTTTTTTACTAATCTTTCAAACTTAAACATATCAATCGCCAGTAGGCGTACACTCGAAATAGATAAGTGATATTACAAGGTTGCTTGTTTGCTCATAATTTAACAAACAAAGTCTTATCGCTTTGACGTAACAATAAAGTTTAGGGATTTAAACTTTTCTAATTATAAAAAATAAAAATAAAATTTTTTGTAGGAAGATCGCTTAATTTATAACAGAAAATGGTTGTAAAAGTAAAGTAATCATATTCAATCAAATTTAAAAATTTTATTACCAGTGAAATATTTTCATGACAGTTAACGTTCTGTTTTAATAAATCCGATTTTAAACTAATTAAGTTTAAATAACTATCAAAGCATTACCTCATAAAAAATATTTTAACGCATTTAAAAACGCAGATAAAACTTACTTAACAATACCTGGGCGGAAACCTTTTTTATTCTGAAATTAGAGATTGTAACATTGTTATTAATCAGTGATAAATTAATCCAATTAATTTACAATATAGTCTACGTTTTTTTATTTATAAAGGATGTGTCGTGTTTTGGTATCAAATAGAAAATAAATGACCACTGACATTAAAATTGCGACAAATCATTTAACAGACTTAGAAATAATTTTTTTTATTGTATTGTCTCAATAAATTTTGGTTGGAAAGTCCGGATATCTTATTTAATCCTTCGTTTTATTTCATAACAAAAACATTAAACGTTAAAGTTTAGGTAGAACAGAAGTTGACTATCGTTGCCGAGTTCATTCATAAAAAACCCAGAAAGAAAGCAAATAACATTGTCTTTTTAGTTGACTACCGACTAATATTGGTGGCTGAGCTACACAAAGTCTGCGCATCACAATTACTTCAAGATAACAGAATTAAGTTTGACAATAGTTTACTTTGCTCAATGAGCCATTTGTTTAAAAGATTAACTTAAAGTGAAGTGCTGTTTCCAGTGAAGTGTGGTTACAAGTGAAGTGTAGTTTGGATTAATAACAAGCGATTAAAAACTGTATGTTCATTTCTAAAAAAAGTCAGTATCTACTACATAAGTTAGCATAGACAATGTCAAGGGAAACAAATTTATCGTTTTCTGTAGAAAACATTTTAAAACATAAGCATAAAAAAGATAAATGCCTAATCTATCACGAATCAAATAAAAAAAACATTGAAGTTGAACATTTTGAACGAAACTCTTTATGGTTAATTAACCCGACCAACCTATCATTTAGTATCAATGATTATTCAAAACAAAGAATTTCACCTGACGGACGACTTTTAGATAAATTAAATGGTGAGTAAATTTTTTTTTCATTTTTTTATTTTTGTCAGTATTTTTAGTGAGTGGAATGCAGAAGATGTTGTACAAACAATTTTTATATGAATTAAGATGCGCTTTATAACAAAGAAAATCTTGCGGATATTAATCACGCGTCAATTTTTTATAAACGTACTCAAATCATAACCAATATACGAGTATATATATATATATATATATATATATATATATATATATATATATATATATATATATATATATATATATATATATATATATATATATATATATATATATATATATATATATATATATATATATATATATATATATACATATATATATATATATATATATATATATATATATATATATATATATATATATATATATATATATATATATATATATAATATATATATATATATATATTAATATATATATATATATATATATATATATATATAATAGTCAAGAAGTTTGCTATTTTTTTTCTTTGTTTACAAACACAACTATATTTATATATTAGTATATATCATTTAGTAAAAAAAATATTTATAAATATATATATATATTATATATATGTATATATATATATATATATATATATATATATATATATATATATATATATATATATATATATATATATATATATATATATATGTTTATAAATATTTGTTTTACTAGATGATATATACTAATATATACCATAATAAATATAGTTGTGTTTGTAAACAAAGAAAAAAAATAGCAGACTTCTTGACTATTTTTTTTATACACAATGATAGAAAAACAAGATCATCTTTACGGTCGAAAACATCGAAGAGTCAGAACAGCATTTACCCATCATCAGTTGACAACTTTAGAAAGAACGTTTGAAACTAGTCATTATCCAGATGTTGTTCTCAGAGAAAGATTAGCATCGTTTACAGGATTAGCCGAAAGCCGAATACAAGTAAGTAACTCAAACTTAAATGTGTTTAAACTTAAATATCGTCTATATATATATATATATATATATATATATATATATATATATATATATATATATATATATATACATATATATATATATATATATATATATATATATTATATATATATATATATATATATATACATATATATATATGCATGTATATATACATATATATATATATATATATATATATATATATATATATATATACATATATATATGCATATATATATATACATATATATATATATATATATATATATATATATATATATATATATATATATATATATATATACATATATATACATATATATATACATATATATATATATATATATATATATATATATATATATATATATATATATACATATACATATATATATATATATATATATACATATATATATATATATATATATATATATATATATATATATATATATATATATATACATATATATACATATATATATACATATATATATATATATATATATACATATACATATATATATATATATATATACATATATATATATATATATATATATATATATATATATATATATATATATATATATATATATATATATATATATATAATACTATATATATATATATATATATATATATATATATATATATATATATATATATATATATATTTATATAATTTTTTTTATTTATAGGTATGGTTCAAAAACCGTCGAGCGAAATATCGAAAACATCAACTTTATGACTCGTCAACCACTGATCTTAACGACGATACAGCATATTTTACAGACAATAAAAAGTCTCACAAAAAAGAAAATATATCAAGAACTGCAAAACCTAAACATATTCACCATTTATATTCTGAAAAAACAACAAGCTTACCAAACCTACCTGGATATAATAACTTAACAAACTTAAAGTCAGTAATAAAATCACCGACAATTTATGGAACTTTGATATCATTTTGAATTATTTATATTTTATATAACTTTGTACAAATAAATATAATTAGACTAATATATTATTGCTAGTTACAAAGATTCTATAGTTACAACGATTCCATAGTTACAAGGATTTTAAGTGTTTAATCAATAAAAAAAAATTAAATTCTCTCCATAAACAATAGCTCAATAGCGTTAGGATTGCGAAAAAAGTGCCTGAGGAGCAATGACTGTAGCCGAATTTTTTGTGTTTAGTATTTTATTTCATATCTAGTGAACTAAATCCAAAATTTAAGTGATCATTTAGTACCTATTGAGGATGTTTTTTTATAATCAAAATAGTTAATATTTTAGTTAAAGGTATAGATCAAATGAACTTTTAACGCAGAACAAATTTAAACAATCAGAAAATCTTAAACAGACCATAAGAAAAAGCTGAAGAAGCTTAAAACAGAGTAGAAGCTTAAAAAGGCACCAAATATGCACTAAGTAAAAATTTTATAAACAACTTACAATATGTGCTTAATAGATAAGTTATAAATAGATGTGATTGAGTATTGGATTATATATCTCTATTGTTTATGGTTTTTTTTTTTTTAAAAAAAAGCTTTTAGCTCATTGATTTTTTAATTCTGATCTAGATCATTATCAAATTATTATTGTTTAACAAATAATATTATATGTAATACGTTATGTTATAGTAGTTGCTTTGGGTTAGTTTAAATGCGAAATTTTGAGAGATTTGCGGGTTCGTTCTTGAAATGTTGCGAGTTTGTTTTTGTAATGTTGCGAATTAGTTCTTGATAAAAATAGCTGTCATCTTTTCTTTCGATACAAATAAAAAAATGCAGCTAAATGTAAACTAAAATTTTGAAGAACTTAAAGAAAAGTTTATAATGTATAACATATAATTTATAATAATAAAAATTTATAATTTATATTAACTGTTTTTAAAAACGTTTTAAAAAATAGTTTTATCCACAATTTTATTTATTTATTTTTAAATTTATTTAAAAACTTTTTTCCGCAATTTATATATTTATTTTGCATTTAAAGCTTAGAAAGTCATACAAAAATATTTTCAAGAACGGAAAGTGAAGAAGCAAACAGGGCGCAGCGATTGGAATGCTGACTTCTGAATCAAAAGATCCGTCGATCGATGTCCGTTCTGGCTATAAAAAAGCGATATTGGAAAAAGATTTCATTTAGATCCACTTCCGTGGTGCACCGCGACAATAAACTGATGTTTTTAAAATATCTTAAGAAACAACAAAAAGACATACTAAATATTTCTAAACACAATTCTGTTTTATTTAAAAAACTATGCAAAAAAAGAATCAAATAAAAACTATCAATTTTATTACTATCTATGAAAAATACAAAAATATTTCAAAAAAAAAAAAAGATCTTGGTACTGATTGTTGCTAACTTTCAAAACTTTTCAAAATTAATCATATTTTCTAGTTAAACACATAAATAAGATTACTATTTACAAAAATACTATTGAGGTACAAAATTTAAGGAAAAACTGTATCATTACTTGAAAATAAACTTAAAAAACTTTTAATAAATAATAACCCTTTTGTGCTAAGAAAACAAGAGACTTGCTGGGCTAACAAGTTATCAGGATCGCAGCATAAAAATTCCAAAAAATGTAAAAAAAAAAAAAAAGGAAAGAAAAAAAAAAGGTAGTTTTAAATCGAGATAAAAAAAAAACAAAAAATAATAAGAAAAAGAATCAATTAAAAAGAACTTTTTTTTTTTAATAATTAAAATAAGTTTCGCTGTTCATAAATGACATCATATGCGTAAGCATACGATTACTACTAATTGTACTACCTTGTAGATTTAATAGTTAATTACAATCATTAACAACAACTAATTACAAAAAATTTTATATGAAAAAATAACTTCTTTATATATAAAGAATATAAGACAAGGAATAAATTTTTAAATATAAGAAATTAAACTTAATAAAAAAGCGTATATACCAAATTTCAAAGCTTTTATTTGATTTTAAAATATCTCTTTTTATATGAAACTTCAATGAATTTATTGATTTCACCATATTGAAACAATAATTTTAAAGTTGTTTCATATTTTAGTCTTCGATGTATTATGCATAACACATAAATAAATAAGTGTTGCAGATGGCCGTAGATTAGGAACTGCGTTGGCAGTCTTATCTGTTTAGTTCTGGTATTGTACAAGTTCAAATAGTTTAATGTTACCCCTTCCCATTTTTATTCCTAAATTGTAGCTGTTAAGTTGGCCTAACAAAGAAATACGACGCCACGATAACATATTAGTTGCGAATACATTGCTTGTAAAAAATTACCGCACCGCAAGTAATTTTAAAACACTGTTAAAAAGATGTTAGTAAAAATGAAGATTAATAGATGCAGTAGTAATTAAGCGTCCGTTCAATTCTATACTACTATAACATCTCTGTTGTCTTTACTACATTAGTGAAGAATGCAGAGGTGCATTTACTGTCTGTACTTTGAGCTTATAGTTAAATTGTCTTTAAAGTTACTTTAATTTTTTAACTGTTTTCTTATACTCTTTCATAGCTTTATTTACCATTAAAACTAACTAATAATTTGCTAAAATGTATTTGACAAAAAAGCTTGCTTGACCATAAGAAAGACGTTAGTACTTTTCAGGAATTTGAAAAGTACCAACGTCTTTCTCTTCAACGTCTTTCAACGTTTTTCCTTCCCCCCATCCCTCACTTCTTAAATTGTCCCCGAGTCTAATATATGCTAACGCAACATCGACATAAGAACAATGAGAAATCGTATATCTATATTTTTTATTTTAACTTTTTTCTACTTCTTACTTAACTTTGAAAATTATCTTTTATTTATTGTTGATATTTTAATATTCTTTAATCTATTGATTCCCAAGTTGCGAGTATTTCACTTATGATTTTGTTATTTAACACGCAATGCTTGAAAACTTAGAGTCGATCTTACATCATTCGGTCAGAATAAAATTTTAAGAAAAGGTAAATAACAGTTAACTATAAAGAAAAATACAATAGAACTTTACAAAGTGAAACAAAATGTGACGTTAATAATTTTCATCACAGAAAGTTTAACTTTTAATGGGAATATGTTTTTAATATCTTCTTTTTTTCAACTGTGAAAAATTGATATTTCATTTATAACAAAATCAAAACATTAATCAAAATAATGCTTTGACTCTTAAGATCTCCATCTACGTCTGCATTTTTGTATACTTTATATTCTTTTTGTCTTTATAGATAAATGTAACACAAACTCAAACGGCTTTGAGTTTGTGTAAGTTAAAAAAATGATTTAGTAAGTAAAAAAATGTATTCAATTCATTTAGAATTTTTTTTTTTGCTTTTAATTTGTAGTGTAGACAACTTGAACGAGATGACTTGAACCAACAAGACGATTTGAACGAACGAGACAATTTTTAAACTTTAATATAGGTTTTAAAACCAACTGGAGACATTTATGTGTTCCGTACTTAAATTTAATTTAGACTGGCTAAGTATAGTCTATGCTCCACTTATAAATAATCTGAATTGACTTGCTTATTCCACTTCTAAATAATCTGAATTGGCTAGCATCTTAAATCTAAAGCCATTAACTAATATCTTGTAAAAATTTATATTTTGCACATAAAAAATTATAAAAAAGATTTGTAAATATAATTTTTTAATGTATAATTTCGTTTTATAAGTTTTTTAATTAAATTTTTATTTTTCGTACTTTTTTTAAAATAGAAAACACAACAGACTACGTCTTAATTAGTTCAAATAAATGTTTTGATTTTTTAAATTCTCAGTTGTTGTTGTTTGAGAACATTGTTTCAATTTTTTTTGTTGAATATAGATCGTGACGTAATTTATGGACGACTTCATTTAAAACATTATTGCTTACTAATTAAATTTTTGACTTGCAACATGCAGGGTTTTGACTATGTAAGTTTTTGATAAATTTTTTTCTCATTTTCCGAGGTTCTCTTACTAATTTTGTTAATTATTGAAAACAATATTATTATTAAGGCCACCATAAAAAAACACAAAGTGGAGAACAAAAATTGATTCCGGGCCGACTCTCCACAAAATTATATTTCATCGCTTAGCCAAGTCAAATTTAATGGTACTTTAAAATGTACTCGTCACCATTTTAGTTTTTTAAATGGTTCATTATATAGCTTTTATTTTACCCCTACATTTTGAGAGAATGAAATATGCAAGTTGCTGGGTAAATAAATTAGGTAATAAGGTTCCGGAAATAAAGAGGTTCCGGAAATTGAGTTAGATTATTGCTAGTACGGCACTTTTTGGTGCCATAAAACTCGGTTGCTTTTACATATTGTTTTCGTATGCTTGTTTAAAAAAGTTAAACCTTGCCTTCTGAATTTTCACACAGTTACCATTTACTATTTTTAATCAAAAATTTTACATCACCTTTTACATTATAAACCTGTTGCTGCTGCTGCTGTTGTTGTTGTTGTTGTTGATGGTGCTGTTGTTGAGGTCGCTGCTGTTGTTGAGGTCGCTGTTGTTGTTGAAATCGCCGTTGTTGCTTGATTCGCTGATCATCATCAAAGTTAGACATAAGTTATTTCCTATGCTATTTTGCTTCTTTTTTAAGTCAGAATCTTTTAATCTTTTGAATATTTCATGTTTATTGAAAATCCTTTTGAATCTTGACATGTATACATATTTTTGTTTAATTTGGTCAACTTGGACGCGAAAAATTTGTTGCAAAGCTGCGGTAAAGTATTGGGTTAACTAAATTTGTTAATAAACTAAAATAAACAATTTTATCAATTTTATCTACCTTTAACATCTAGGCGTTATATTATTTGATTCATATAGTTTTGTTTCACTAAAAATTTCACATCGTTTTTATAAGAATTATTTCAGAAATTATTTTAAAAAAACCAAGAAGTTACAATAAGAAATCGAACACAAGTACAATAGTTATAGAATGGAAAGACTTATTATGTTAGTACAGCGATAGAATGGAAAAAGCTATTATTATTATTATTATTATTATTATTATTATTATTGTTATTATTATTATTGCTATTATTACTATTATTATTGTT